AAAAAAAAAAAAAAAAAAAAAAAAAAAAAGGTGGATTTTTAAGCAACAAGTAAGCAGATGCCTGTTTCTGTAAGCACAGGAGAAATGATAGCACATTACTAAAAGATCTATACAGGTGCTGATGTAATATTAATTGGCTCAATTCAGATACTGGTGAACATTTGGAAAGACTGTAGCAGGCACCAGAGATGCACTCTTTGCACATGATGGTGCATCTGATTGTTATGTTGAACATATCCCTCACTGCATCTACAGCAGAAAACAAAGAAAGCATGTCTATGAGATGCCAGCCAGTAACCTGCTCATGCTTCAGTTGTGTTAGCTGTTGCAGGATTCAACAGCTACAGTACCCGACAGTGGGACTGCGGGATAACTTCATCAAGTTTTCACGGATAACTTAGACAACTGCTTGGAGCCCTGTCTTCTTCGTAAGGAAACTTTGATGTAGCCTTAGCCAAGAAATACAGAGATGGAAACATATGGACTACCTTGGAATATAATAGCCTGTGCTTTAAACCAAAGCCAACATTAAAAGGCTTGCAAAAAGCTTTGCTCTATTACCTTCCCACCACATGCTTGCCCATTACTCTGTCAATCAGGTGATGGGATTAAAAACCTCACAAACTGTCTCAACAACTTTTAACTGTAACAGTATGGACCCAACTCTTTCAAGTTGGTGCAAAGGGTACATTTTCTACAACTTCATTTATGTTTCATACAAGCAGATTGTTCACAGATTAAAGCAGAAAAATCTTGCGATGGTGAAATTGTTTATCACCTACCCTACAAACACAGTCAGATTTTTGTTACTGTCAGCAAGAGCCTATGAAGTCCATACTAGCCTAATTTTAAAAAATCACCCTGGATGGCAATACATTTTGGCAGATATCCTAATCACTGGTCACTATTTCTGCACTTTGAAAAAAATCAGTGGCAAAGTCTAAATGACTCTTTTCCCTCTGTGCTTTGGAGGTTAGGTGCCAACAGCAACACAGTGAGTAAGGAGAACCTGGATGTTAATTACGTATGCAATTTATCAGTATTAGTGCCAATCTTTATCCAGTTTTGGGGAGGTGATGCTTAAATTTTTTTCATACAGAATTTTAGATGACAGGGTTGTTCATACAGAAAACCTGAGCACTCAATTTTAGCAAGAGAAAACCCTATTTTGTAACTGCGGTAGAGTCATTAGGCTTCTGAAATGCTGTTACCCAAGTTCTGAGAGAAGAATAGTCTGTTTTCCCTTTTACATTTAGTAACTAGAGGAACATTTACATACTTGAGGTGCCAAGCCCAAGAGACAGACATGTAATTCTATTTGGCAATATAAGCTGTTATACTCTTTCTCCTAACAGGCAAATTTGTTTGCCTTTAGAAATCAGCAGATCTTTTAAAAAACCAACCAAACAAAAAAACCCACAAGCCTTTTCTGCCTTAAGCCTCCTGGAAAAAGATTATTATGGTTTGGGTAGATTTAGGGGAATGTCTACCATAAGATACATCAGGCTGGAGTTGCAAACAGTTTATTCACAACACAAATTACCTTTTCCATTTGCCTATGTGTTCAATCAGGTGCAAGATCTTCTTGAAGTTCCTGCTCCTCCAGCCCCTCTTGCATACTATGATGAGCAGCTGGAGACAGGAGACAACAATCGCATGCAGGAGAACCCAACCAAACTCTTTGCTTTAATGCTCAAAGAGACACTACGTAATTTGTGTAACAACATGGGCCCCCTCACTCATATTCCGTGATGCTTCACAAGTGTGAAGGCCTTCGTTTCGAGGCTGATCTATAAATTCAATGTTAAATTAATTGTGTGTGTGCAAAGCTTATTCTCCAATTCCAGAAATGCTCCTGTGCAGCCCAGGTTGGTCAGCAGTGGCACATTAACAAGCTCTGTTATGTATGTTTGCCAGTACAATCTTGTTTGCCACCAACTGCATTCTCTACACTTCTAGAAGCTGGTGAGCCTTAAGTAGCAACCTAGCAACTTCTGCATATCTGTTCTGCAACATGAGTGTTTGGGCTACAATCCTGGGGGACACTTCTCACTGAAGTCACACCTGATCACACGTAGCCCATCATGCTGCTCTTGTTTAGCAGTAATGCTGATAAAATACTGCAGGCTGCAGTAACTTTCACCTTTAAAGCTACTCAATGAGAGAGATTCTTCACTGATTCTTAGTCTTCTACATTTGTGTGCATATAATACACAGTAAAAACTACATGGAATACAAAGAACTACAAAGTCTAAGCAGCAGAGTCTTTGTAAACTTTATACTTGTTGCAAAAATAATGTGGGGAAAAGGGCAGATCACATGTTACTTGGTACACAAGTATTTGTCAGAGTAAACATATAAACACCACAGGTGACTATTTACCCTGAATACTCCCAGAAGAATTATGATGACACCATGAAAAACAGCCCAATAGCCAAATAATCCAAGCAGTGAACTGTGTCTGCAGGAACAGAAGTAGACGACTGGAGTAGCGTGAAGGTAGCAACTGGAGGTAGAAGGCAATACTGCCTTGTGCTGCGTAGAAGGGTTACTTCAAAAAAGTAACCCGTCATCAGATTTAAGAGTGATGATGAAAAGCTTTATAGATAATTGTGCAATGTGAAAAATACTCCTGTTATAATTTAATAATAGTGGTGTGGTTCGTTAATTAGATTTCTTACTTCATTAGTTACTTAGTAATGTGTTGCATAAGCAGTAAATGTGGTAGTCTCTTAAATCAGTTATGCTCAGTGCTGCAATCCAAAGAGAAAGAATGGGACTGGAACTAACAAATATGTAATAAAAAAGTATCCTACAAAGTAATAAATTGCATGGGCAACGGCCTGAAATTACCACATGAAACTGAAAGGTACACCATATAAAGCTGAGAAAAGAAAAGTCACAGATTAAAATCAGGTGTAGCTAGCCAGGCAACAACACAGCAGAAAAGTTTATGGGCATTACATTATATCACAAACTAAAAAGACACCGATGGCATTACGGGAGTACATAAAACCTGTAACAGATTTTTTTTTTCTTTTTAAAAAGACAGAAGTGTGGTATGCATGTGACATTAAAAGGAATTAATCTGTGCTATTTGGCTCAAATGACATCTCACCTAAAATACTATATGCAGTTTGGGACAGGACCCTTTAAAGATAATTTAGGCAAAAGGCAATGCAGAGGAGATGAGAAAAATAGTAAGAGGTTTAGAAAACATAAATCCATGCCCGTCAGATTTTTTTGTGAGTTATTTAGTCAAGAGGAGACTTTCTGTAAACGGTTTTACAAGTTGTAAGAGTAATGCTGTTACTGCTCTAACGGTCAAGAGACCTACACAGGATATGGTTTAAAGGTAAACATCCTTATTAGCCCAGTTAACGTATGGAAGATGGAGGAATCTATAGGCAAATGACCATGAAAAAAGACTTGGGCATCCTGCCTTCTCCTTATCGCAGCTAAGTAAGTTTTGCTGCTAAAGGGCTGTTCTTCTACCTGCAACATCTTGTACTTCTGATTTGAAAAAACATTTTTAGGGAGAGCACAGCAATCAGCTGTCTTTTGCAGAGGCCTTAAAGAATAAGAAAACAAGATCTGTCAACAATTCTTGAGGCTGGATATTAGAAAAACAATTTCTAGCTGCTTGGGAACTGAAACAACACAGGAACAAATTAAGTCATGAAATTGCAGTAATTTACTTTGCTTAGGATGCTAGGGATAGGTTACACAAACATTCTCCATTGTGGAAAGTGCAAGCTTATTTAACCTTGCCTCACTGAAGGCAGTAACGCGACAGGTCACCTCCCAGTTCTACGATACAATACAATAGTCAACTTTCTAAACAGACATTGGTGAAGAGTGTCATCTAGTGGTCATAATTAAGAAAAAATACCAGTGATAATCTCAAATGCACGAAAAAGTACCAAAAAAATTTTAGTACTTTCTAGTAAGTAGCCATCCATTACTTGCATTTACTGATTTTAAAATAATGTGTATTTACATTAGAATAACTATTGATTTAGATGCTATACTAAAATGTTAGTATTATAGGACCCATTAATCAACCAAACTAACTTCCCTCTTCTTTATATAGTTTTATAATTTTACAGTATTTCCATATGCAAAAAGTACAGAAAAGGGGAGAACTAGGAACTACGTAGGAAGTAACAACCCAGGCCACAGTACATGCTGGAGGTCGACCGGCTGGAAAGCAGTTTTGAGAAAATGACCTGAGGGTCTTGGTGGATAACAAGTTGACTATAAGCCAGCAACATGACCCTGTGGCAAAGGCGGCCAGTGGTACCCTGGGCTGCATTAGGAGTGTTGCCAGCAGGTTGAGGGAGGTGATCCTTCCCTTTCTCCTCAGCACTGGTAAGGCCACGTCTGGAATCCTGAGTCCAGTTCTGGGCTCCCCAGTATGAGAGAGATGGAGCTACTGGAGATCGAGTCCAGAGAAGGGCCACTAAGATCATGAAAGGACTGGAGCATCCTGCATATGAGGAAAGGATGAGAGTTGGGACTGTGCAGCCTGGAGACGAGAAGACTCAGGGTGTCATCCAGGTGTACAAATAATCTGAAGGGAGGGTGCAAAGAGAACAGAGCCAGGCTATTTCCAGCGGTGCCCACTGACAGGGCAAGAGGCAACAGGCACAGACTGAAACACAGGAGGTTCCTCCTGAATGTAAGGAAACACGTTTTCTCTGTGATGGTGACTGTGCACAGGAACAGGCTGCCCTGAGAGGTTGGGGAGTCTGCATCCTTGGAGATACTCAAAAGCTGTCTGGACATGGTGCTGAGCAACCGGCTCCACGTGAGCCTGCTTCAGCAGTGGGGATGGAGATGATGACCTCCAGAAGACTCTTCCAACTACAACCACTCCGTGATTCTGTGAAAATGCCCTCTTTGTAGACGACAACTGTAAGGGGAAAGCTGACCAAATGCACAAACAGGAAAATGTCTTTTCTCTACAACAAATAGCGATACTATACATAAACAAAAAACTCTTTTTCCATTGGAAGTCTTGATTTTTACATCTCAACTATAAGCAATAATGCTTCTTGCATTTAGCTGTCTCCTACGTATTTAAAAAAAAATTGGTAAACCATTTTGCATTGTTCTTCTTTAATTAAAGGATTACAAAGAACAGCAATTTTCTCTCCACCTCCTTCCTTCCCCTGTCATCCATATGAAGAGCGTAACACTATTATGAGCAAACTGGAGGAAAAAAAAGAAGGTGAGATGGTCAAACAAGTTAAGTTATGCTCTGGTTGAATGGAAAGGTCAGTATCTTCCCCTTCTGTGCAGGTCCATCTGTAGGTGGGGGTGTACACTTCTGGGGAGGGAAGAGTAAGTAGCATGTATGTATTATGTAAGCTAGCTACACCAGCATAATTAAAATGTAAGGACTTGTGTTGCTGATCAGGGCAAATTCCTGAGAACAAGCAGAGTGGTAGGGCTCTAGCTATGGCGACCAGGAGCTAGCTGGGGGCGAGGAGTGTCTGCCTGAGGTATGGGATCGGGAGGGCAGTGCTAAGAGAACTGTGGCTGGAGCTGGTACAGATGGAGCTTACAGAAGGCGCAAATGTTTTGGAGAGTGTACAGAAGAGACTGTCGTGGTCAGGGAAAGCTGGGCAGTTGTGTTCAGAGCAGGCAAGAAGAGAGGGATATATGTATGTGTGTGAATGGGGAAGCATTAACAGGACTCACCGAAACCCCTGGAGAACCACTGAAAGAGAATGCCCTAATCTGGTAGTACCAATCCTATTGAGACACTCTGTCCTAACAAGCAGTTCTGCAAACAGATGATGATCACATATATTCTTTAACAGGTGCCAATTTCTCCTTTTACTTTTATTAACAAGTTCGACACTTGCTTTTGCTTTTTTTTTTTTAACAACCAAACATATTTAAGGGCAAACTCAGACTGCCTTTATAAAGGTGACAGCTCATACATAGCTTGTTTGTGGGAGAAGTGTTTAGGGCTGGCTAATCCCAAATGTACTACTTCTCTCTAAGACTGAATGAAATCAAACAGCACCTGGATTATCTACTTTCCAGACATTTCTACACCTTATTGTAAACAGAAATGGAATAATCTACTTTATACATAGAGTGTGCATGGCAGCACTTAACTATCCAACTTAACTTGGATAACAAAGCAACTATGTGATACACATAGGATATCACATATGCAGACTTTCAGAACTCTTTTTTCAGAGCCTTGTAAGGAGTAGATGTAAAATATTTTTAGGGCTTTTAAAATTGTAACAACTGCATACAAATATAATTCCTATATGTCTATTAAAAATGTATCTAATTAAAGTATCATTGGAACTTTTTTTTGTTTTGGGTATGGTAGAAGAACAATAAAGTAAACAGTGATGAAGAAAGAAAATAAACAATCACTGATTTTTTAACTTACCTTCAATGACAGGGAGCCAGCAAGAAAGAAGTGGTCCACATCAATGACAGAGGCAAGGAAGCCAGCCAGAGCGACCTCAGTAAAGTCACTTTTCTTCCTGAGTCCAATCACTATTGCCCAGGACCACATTCCTAGTACACCATGCACTGCATTATCAGAGAAGGCTCGGAGCCAGTCATTTTGCTGAACGAAGGAAAACTGCAGAAGTCTGTCTGCTACAAAGCAGAATATTCCCAAACCTAGACTAGAAACAACTGAAGCTGTGCTGAAAGTTTGGAGAAGAGCATGGGCCTTTTCAGTCTCAGACGCCATGGCAAAAACCATGTCACAGCACACAAAATGACATCAGGGTATACACTGTGCATTGTCCTTTGTATCATCAGTTGCTCTGTAAATGTCAGAGAACAGAAAGAAAACTATTAAAGAAAAAAATCCATTAGCACAAAGCATTTGTTATCACAGCTACAACTGATCATAAAAAAAACCAATTTCAATGTTTGCATTTAATATTCCTAGGGAATCTTTGATTTCAGTAAAGATAATTTGTTGACTTTGATACTACAGCTCTGAATTAAAACACTCATCCTGTTTTAATTAGAACAAGCACCTTTATAACTCCACTTTCTGAAATCTTAAATTTTACAAAACAGTTTGAAACTATTTGGGGGTACTGGTGGATGAAAAGCTGGACATGAGCCAACAATGCGTGCTTGCAGCCCAGAAAGCCAACCGTATCAAAAGACTGCATCAAAAGCAGCGTGGCCAGCAGGTCGAGGGAGGCGATTCTGCCCCTCTACTCTGCTCTGGTGAGACCCCACCTGGAGCACTGCGTCCAGCTCTGGGGCCCTCAGCACAAGAAGGACATGGACCTGTTGGAGTGGGTCCAGAGGAGGACCACAAAAATGATCCGAGGGCTGGAGGACCTCTCCTGTGAGGACAGGCTGAGAGAGTTCGGATTATTTAGCCTGGAGAAGAGAAGACTCTGGAGAGACCTTATTGCGGCCTTTCAGTACTTAGAGGGGGCTTATGAGAAAGATGGGGACAAACTTTTTAGCAAGGCCTGTTGTGACAGGACAAGGAGTAATGGTTTTAAACTAAAGAAGGATAGATTTAGACTGGATATAAGGAAGAAATTTTTTACGCTGAGGGTGGTGAAACACTGGAACAGGTTGCCCAGAGAGGTGGCAGATGCCCCATCCGTAGATGGTCAGGGATGGTAGAAGGTCAGGCTGGACGGGGCTCTGAGCAACCTGATCTGGTTGAAGCTGTCTCTGCTCAGTGCAGGGGGGTTGGGCTAGATGACCTCTAACGGTCCCTTCCAACCCAGAACATTCTATGATTCTATTCTATGATAATACATTGAATATGTTTCAAGATTCCTCCTGGTCTTAAATACATGATATTCATCAAATCAGATCTCTTTACACTGTAACAACAAAAAAAGATTCAACTTGGAGGATTCTTAGGACTGATGCTCAAAAATCCCAAATCTCTCTATGCAACAACAGAACTGAGTTTCTAGTCTATAATCGAAACCACTATTTTCATTTACATACTTTGTAAATATATGTATTATCAGGCTGGTACCCCTTTCTGAGCAACTCCTTGTTTTGCTTGGAGACTGGCACATAGAATAAGCCTTAAGAAAACCAGAACCATTAAAATATTTTTACGGTTTATCATAAACACAATGACAACAACCATTCAGTCAAGCAGAAGTAACCAAAACTAACTGCTTCAAGAACAAAACTACATATTCTTTTCCTCAGTATGTGCTCCAGCAGCAAACTCTACTGTTGCTTTTAGGACTTGTCTATTGCCTGCCACCTTACCTTCATAAAAGCTCTTTTCGCAGAAAAAAAAGAAAATTAGCTAATCCCAATCATTTTACTTTTCAAAAGTTGAACATTGTAATTTGAAAACAAAGGCACTGTTATTAGCATCAATAATCAGTTCAAAGTCCTTAAAAACTATTTCTGTTCTGTAACTGTGATGAAACCCTCTTGTACAAGGTGATTTCCTGGGAAAAATTATTGTCCTTAAATAACTGCCTGACATTTCAAAAGAAATTCCAAAAATAATTCAAGATCTTAAAGACACCCCCACCCCACTCCCAAGAAGCAATTACAGGATACCCAGATTATAAAGACAGAGTACTCATTTCTGTGATAACATTAAAAAGAACACTTTGGAAAGAAAAATTCTCATACAAATAATGTATTCCCCAGCTTCGTTACATTAAACGCACTGAGAAGTGGTCTTTGAAGGACAGCATCAGTTCTAATCATCCCAACTGTTATGCTCTTCTGTATTTTTGGGGAGCCATGGAGATAGACCACAGTTTCAAAGCCTACATCCTATCCGAAAATGGATTCTTCCCAAGAGATTGCTGTTTCTGTGCAATACATTAAATCTTGATAATCCTTCTTCTTACAGTTCTATCAGGTAAATTTTTATTCTAAATGTGCTTTTTATGAGTGTTTTAGACTTCCTTTAAAAATGAATACTTCTAACAGTGTTGATACAGAAAAGTTTATTATTTTAAACATGTTATTGGTTTTAAGACCCAGAAAATAGAAAATGTGCCTTCTAGCTTACTTACATGCCTGTTAATTGTAGAATTATCCACAATACATGACTACTGGCATTGATCTTTACAGAAAAAAAGCCCCCTGAAGCATTCATTTGGAAAAGGTTAAAAAAAAACCAGAAAAAAGCATGAATAATACATGGCCTTTGCACATAGATGAGAAAAAGTGGGTCAAGTTTAGAGTCTGTTAACCATGACTGTGCCTCTTCTGAAGGAACATGTAGACACAAAGTATTTCCTGAAACATGGAACCGCCATTTTCTGGTGGGTGACTTTACAATATACAGTACATTTCTGAATAAATTCTATTTTAAGGAACAAATGGTGATCTCCTCACAAATGTTTCTTCCATATAACCATCATGTCAGGTCGGATTTTACTTAAAATTACCATAAAACCTGTATAAGAATCCAATGTGGGCAGAGCCGATGCAGCAACATACCTTTAAAAAGCACACCAGTATTCAGAATCAAACTTACCCTGGGACTAGGAGAATGCGTTTTTTCCATTGCAGTTGCCTTATTTCAGTAGCAAACGTGGCCTATGCCTCGGCATTGAGCCTCTGTGCTTTCTGAATCCAGTCTGCCCAGTCCAGTGCAGGAAAGACCAAACAGCATTTGTGCCATCCTAAATAAATCGAACCAGGCAGCAGTAAGCACCATACTACACAAAGGTCTACAAACTCTCTACAAAACATACACGAAAGCTAGAACAATAGTCAAAAATACATAAAGAAGCAACATCTTTTTAATGAATTCCTGAACAAACAGCTAAAAGCAACTTCAGCCAGGGCTTAGAAGCTCTGTTAAAGCAAGCAGTGGAAAAAAGACCATAAAACAAAAGAAAGGCACAAATAAAGATGGAACAAGATAATAATCAAAAGATAATAAAACCCAATGCCATAAAGCCAGAAAAGGGCACTTCCAGCCTTCTGTTTTAAGTAAGTGCATTTCGAAATACACAGAAATCCATGTTAACAGATGCGTGTCTGGAACAACTGTGTGCCTGAAAGATGCCCACGTAAAGAAGTATTTATGAGTCACATTCAGGGATCTCTTTTTCATTTCATTCCATAAATGAGTGACCTTGGAATAGATAAACAGAGACCTATAAACTCAGACAGCAACAAAGGTTTGTGTCAGTTCTGCGGTAGGCTTACACTGCTTTGCGATGGATATTATTAACATGTGCGTAAAGTACACAGGAAAAGTATCACTAGAGAGTTAAAAAAATTCCAAAATGAGTACAATTTGAGAATTATGTATCATGAGTGAAATAAAGGTAATAATGCCAACTGGAAAACAAGGACAACATATAAATGGGTGTCTTTGAACCAGAATGAAGAACAGGAAGCAAAAATGTGGCTTCAGATTACCCTTAGTCAAGAGCCATGTCCATAGCATAACAGTTCTTTTTAAACAGTCTGTCTCTGCTGTCTTTTATAGACAAAAATGACTGCTGTCTGTGCAAAAATCAAGTCATGTTCCCAGGTACAACGGCGCAAGTATAAATATTCTGCAGATCAAGAGTGAAATCACACTAGAAAAAGAAAACTCTATTCAATCAAAATAATCTCTGAAATTACAATTTTTAATATAAAACTAGAAACTGTGGGTTTTCTCTGAAAAATGATTTTCAGACTGTTTACAAAACCACAATAAAGTGTCACAGGTTTTTCTATCCTATAAATCTCAGAAAGCATAGTTGTGGAGCTTACATTGGTGTTAGAACAGTGGAAAACAGATGTATTACACAAGAATGCTTAAGAAACCTATGGGTGGTCAGTCTAGTTAAGATATTGAAGGAAAGATTCAGGCTGGGTTTACATAAAACACATGCATACAACAGCTGATGGAATAACACCGCTTAGGAGGTGTGATTTCTCATGACATTTTTATATGAGATAAAGCATTATGCATAGTCTCCACCTATACCTACAAAATGCAATTTTGCTAATATATTGAATTTCATTTAAGGAAATTATAAAAATGATCTTAACAAACACACAGTTAACATTGTAAATTACTGACACAAGAAGATATTTAGATCAAAGCTATAAATATGCATTTAGGGAAACAGCTGACACTGAGAGGCCTTTCATCTCTTGGTGTAAGAGCAAAACAAAAATCCAATCGCTAAAATTATCATTTAGAAATATTGCTCTCCAAAATTTTTGCCCCAATTTTGCAAGAAGTTATTGAGCACATGAATACATACAGGAATTGAATGCATAAAATTAGCAGAATTATGCAAGATGTCAAAAGATCACAGCAGTCCCTTATAATTCTACAATCTCCTAAAAAACATTATTTCTATTGGATATTAATTGGTATGAAAAACTCCATAAAGTACAGTTACCACTTAAGACACAAGCTCAAACCTTTAATGTATTATCTCATGGAAAAGCAGATCTGAGCCTAAACAAATCTGTGAAGAACTGATAATGCAAATATTTTTGGGTCATATAGTTATAATGCATTATTGGGGTTGGAGGGTGGAAGGAAGCTGAAGAGGAAAAGGACAAAAGCATGCAAGAAATCGGTAGGATTTTACCAAGATACTGAGGAGCAAACTGAATTAAACCCACAAGGAAATTAAGGAAAACAAACAAAGAAAACCCGCATCAAATCATGAAATAATTAAATTATTTCAGGGACCATAAATTAAAGTGTTTGAAGACATACCAAGACACTAAAATGTAGACCTTCTCCTTAATGAGTACTTTAGAACTGAGATGTACCTTAAAAAAAAAAAAAAAAAAAGAGTTGAAAGAAATACCCTAAAAGTA